CATGACCAAGATGGTTTCCGAAAGTACCCAGCTGAACCGATCCGATTCGAAAGAGTCGAAATCCTCAAATTGGACATTCCTTCAAGTAACAATGAGTGGGAGTCAGAGAAAGTGTTGGTGTTCAAAAAATCTCAAATATCTCCAAAATCCACAAAAATCTGATTTATTTATTCGAAATATTCGAAAATATGTCATACAATTGATGTTTATTTCAAATATCTCAAATATATCACAAGATTCAGGAGCGTGATATTCCCCTAGATTTTTCCCTGTATTTCATGGGTGTTGAATGTCATTCAATGGCACTAAGCTGTAGACATCTCTTTTCGGCTATACGGCAAACAACAGAACTAACGCTGAACATGAAAATGAATTGTGTTTGTTTCGTTAGTTTCAACTGTGCCGCTACGAGAGGTCACTTTTCTCGTTTCTTGTTGTTATTTTACATGTAAAATCAATAGTATTAGACGAGGATGCTGTATTTAATCGAAATTAAGCACTTTGATTTCTGATCTTTTTTTTCATTTGTTGTCAATGACATCTCTGTACCTCTGCACTGTAGTGTAGTTTTAATATAAAAGTCATATGTGACTGAGTCTTTTGGAGTCAACAAAGTAAGCAAACATACATACAAAACCAATATTTTTTATATGTACTTATGACTTTCGAGAAGCCTTCATGTAGCAAACATAAATAAATCTCGATGTAGGTAGCAAGTGGACTTCGGGAGATCATGTCACCATTGACTTGTGCTCGATTTGTAATTTTGTTATTTGTGTAATACACATCAATTCACATTAAATCAAAAGAAAGTAGAACCACAACAAAAAACAGTACTTACAAATTCATCCGAATCTCAGCAATCAACAATTTTCTAGGTGATCAAACACCACCCGATATAGCTAAATGTTTATTCATTGACCTAGGCAAACAAAACAGAGAAAGGAATATGTGCGCTAAATGCTCAAAAACAATAAAAACACTTGCAATACGAGTTGATATAATTGAATGTCCGAGAATGAAAACGCAACTTCTATTCACAACACATATAAGTGAAACAAAAATAAAAAAATTTATTGAAATGAAACAACACAATCGAATTTTTTCAAAGTGTAACAACAAATAAAAAGAATTACATTGGTAATCCCGAACTTTTCCGTACCGTTGGCCTGCGTTGTCCGTAGGTACTTTTGGTTAATTTTTGTGAATTTTCTTGAAATAAAGGCAGTGAAAATATAATAATGAAAATCAGCAGTAGCTGTCTCATATGCTTTAACAATGTTTGACGTTTAGAACTGCTGTTGAAACTTTGTTGGGAGCGCCGCCAACCACAAATCTCTGTAACTATACGTTTGTGTGAAAGTAAAGTCTTTGTGTGTACGTTCGTGTGAATGCGAAGAGTCTATGTGTGCGTTGTACACAGAGATGTTGATTCGTGCGAACGTCGCATCCAATGTCGCATCATGTTAGGCGCCGCTATTGATATACTTTGCTTCAATCGTCAACAAAATACATGAAGTATTTCTCCGTTTTGATGAAAATAAAGTGAAAAATCGACAATTCTGTATGAGAGGTACCCGTAAACCGTACCTCATTGGCTTTAAACTTTCTGAGGTTTCATTTTTTGGAGAAAAAATAAGATTCTGAAAGTTTCATGTTGATCGCATTGGCAGAAGTTTGGTTTTTGGCCCTCAATTTTTTCCAAGAAAATTTCAACAAAAATTGAGGACAAAAAATCAAACTTCTGCAAATGCGATCAACATGAAACTTTCAGAACCTTATTTTTTCTCCAAAAAATGAAACCTCAGAAAGTTTGAAGCCAATGAGAATCGATTAACGGGTACCTCCCATACAAAATTGTCCAAAAATCGGTAATTTTAGTCAAAATGTCAAAAATTTTGTATGGGAGGTACCCGTGAATCGATTCCGATTCGTGTCAAACTTTCAGAATCTTATTTTTTTCTCAAAAAATGAAATCCCAGAAAGTTTGAAGCCAATCAGAGTCGATTTACAGGTACCTCCCATACAAAAGTGTAAATTTTTTGAGGTTTTTCTTAGGGCAAGTACCCCAGGGTCAAATCGAAAATGGCTCATCTTCGAACTTAAACTAAGGTTATTGGATACAAAACTTTTGGGACTTTCAGACTTGGATTATCTCAATTATTTTTTGAGTTTTCGTGTTTACAAACAGCTACGACAACGACGACAACGACGACAACGACAACGACGGCACACGAACGGAAAAGTGTCTCAAAAAGTTTTCTACGCATTTCATGAGTTTTTATGATGATCTAAGCTAATTTTGCGAAAAAAGTTTTCGGGACCAATTCCTATACTTTCCCTTAACACGTTGTGTACGGAAAAGTAAAAAGATTTTTTTAAAGTGTAACATCGGTATGTTGTTACATTTACTACATACCGATGTTACACTTCAAAAAAATCTTTTTTGTTGTTACACTTTGAAAAAATTCGATTGTGTTGTTTCATTTCAATAAAAAAAATTATTTTTGTTTCACTTATATGTGTTGTGAATAGAAGTTGCGTTTTCATTCTCGGACATTCAATTGAATGTACGATTTATTTCGATAGAAAAATGAAACTTTGTTCGAACCCCATTTTGAACTTTATCATGCAAGGAATGATAACATTTTTTTCAAATACCTATATCATATTATATTATAAGTAATTACTTATTAATTATATATAATAAGTGATTGAAAATAAACGCAGTAGTATGTATTTTATTCAAATATGGAAATTGGTTCAGAGCAACAAAATTAGTCATTTGTATTTAAGGCTGTTGTATTCGTATTGTGGTACATTTCAACCAAATGTTTACATGATAACGTTTTTAACAACAAAGATTGAAATAGAAAGAAATACTTCGGATGAATCAGAATAATGGAATTTGCCTCGATGCGTGTCATCGTCCATTGCAATGTGTTGGCTGAAATCTTATATTCGAGGCACAGCACATGGCAATTGGGATTGATTAGAAAATTAATGTTGTTTTGAAACTTAATTTATATTTTGAGGATTTGTACTTCATTCGGTTGAGTAAACTGAGTTCAAAAACCGCAATCGAGTAGAAAGCAACTTTTTGCGTGGGGTCCTGATTAAAAAATAATGATAAGAAGTATTTCATTCACTACTTATTAATTGAAATTTATCATGATATTTGTAAATACCTGATGCAGAACTGTTTTCTATAAGTGGACGCCGGCTGTTTTTCCAATGGATCCGCTGGTTTGGTGACCGTCACTGCTTCTGTCGTCTGAATCTGAAATGTAATTGCATATTTATATGATTGCACTATTGTAACCATCAGACAAACGAAATACGATTTAAAATACATACCGATTCCGATGTTTTTGCTTTCTTCGACAATGTTTTCATGACAATTGATTCCAAATCGTCCTCGTCCAAGAAGCGCTTGTAGGTTTTTCGGTGTTGATAAAACTGTTCTGGACTTAAATCATCGAATGGAATTCGGTGAAACAAGCCATTGAGCTGTAATTTCAGGTTGCTGTCAGTTGTGGATCTTCCATTCCGAACACATTTGGCTTTGGCCCAAGCCATGCACGCATCAACAATCGCCGGTGCGCTGCACTTCGATGACACCAACTGTAGAATCTTGTCAAGTAGCTTGTAATCGCATTCCAAGAAATCGAACGATTTCAGAACTTCGGTCGCTTTCTGTTTGATTTCTTTCTCACAGAATTTGATGACGTTTTCCATCTCGAGAAGTTTGGCCGTTGCATAACCCGAGCACATGTTGTTGATTGCCAATGACTGTTGCATTGGAAATTCGCATAGCTTCAATCCATCGTTGACTTGGTATTTCTTGCACAAATTGGCCACTTGGAAGATGTATTCGGATGTCAATCGCACTTTCGCCAAATGGAAGAACTGGAGAAATTGTTTGAACGCCTCTGGAGAGGCATCGACAATCAGAATGTCTCCATTTTCAGGCAATGATCCGTAGAACATAGTGTCAAACACTTGGCTGACAACTGATAGGACATTTTTATGTGCTACAACGCTTTCAGTACTGTCTTTGAACACAAATTTTGTGTCGGCTGTTTTTGAATTCAGATACAACTTTTGGCCAAGTGAACATGCCATTTTGTTGTCCTGTTCAAATACATTTCCGCTCATCTTCGTTGCCTGTATTGAATTGTTATGAAATGTTTTTGTTAGAATGAAACACACACATTGGTCAGAATGATAATAAGATTGTTATTTCTGATTCTTGAATACGGAGACCTGAACAGTTTTTTTCCCCAGTTTTGCTACTTACTTTTTGATCAATCGTTTACCCAGTGGACGATTTTACAAATGAATCAAATGATAATTTTGATCGGAAACGATTTTAATATTAAATTTTATGTTGTGTAATTGCGCACGACTTGATATTCTCTTCAGACGCCAAATGGATTGTGCATAGAGCTGTCACTTGTGAATGTTCCCTCCAAATTTTGACAGTTCCAATTTAAGCGCCAGCAGAGATGTACTATCAATATTGTGACAGACTAGATGACATATTCAAATTGTTAAACCGCTTGAATTATTTGAATATTTGTCAGATTCAATTGGACCAAGAAAATGGTTAGTTCAACCTCAGATGAAATAAATAAACACAAGCAATGGGAAAAATGTGGCATTTATTTGATGAATAAATCTCTTTGTCATATTTTGAATATTTACTTGAAGCGATTGTAATCAGTTTAAAATAAACTTTATTCTACGACCTTTATGACTCATTTCGATGGATTAGGAAAGTGCTTAGATTTATGAATAGTTTTCTTTCAAAGATTTCTCTTTAATTTTTGTTACTGCATTTGGAATTATCTCCAATTTTGATAACGAATTTCAGAGTTTGGGCATTTAAAGGAGGATAACTTAATGCAATATTTTTTTCAAAAGATTTTTTCGCTTGAAATTTTCTTCTGTATCGACAATCACGATACAAGGTGTATATTTTTATCATATATTGACTATTTACTCATATTGCTCTATTAATCAGATGAAATTGAGCTCCTAAGCTCCCAAATGTTCAAAAATCATACGTGTAATTATGTTTCGACCAGCGTCAAAACGAATTTCAACGTCGCTTTTCAAATGAAAGAAGTGTTTAGGCCCAAGTGTCCAATGACTTCGCTCGACTCCACAATCGAATTTGATGCCATATTTTATCTTCTGATCAATAGCAATTGGAAATGGTAGTGTGAAACGTACATCATTGCTGCGTACGATTGGAATTGTACCCAAAATCAATTTTTCGTCACTTTCATAGTTATGAAGTGTGATTGTTGCGTAGAAGGGTTCGATTACAAAAAATGGTTTGACGTAAATTTCCTTTAACAATAGCTTTGAGTTCGAAGTGAATGAATCTACAATGGGCGTGTCCAAATTTTTGGCTGATTTATTTATACAAATGTCTCGGCAGTCCAGAGTACGTGAAGTTGACGTTGTCATCTCCTTTGCTTCGCTTTTTCTTGCTTTCTTCAAAATGATCGCTTCCAATTCATTTTCGACGAAGAATCGCTTGTATGTTTCGATGTGATGGGAAAATTGTTCTGAACTCAATTCATCAAACGGAATGCAATCGATTGAATCTTTGAGTTGCGCTTTTAAATTGGCAGAAGTGTTGTCCAGATTGTCACGTGCACATTTTGCTTTGGCCCAAGCCATGCACGCATCAACAATCACCGATGCACTAGTGGTCATTGAACCACAGTCCCGTGTTAGCAATTGTAGTATCTTGTCGAACAACTTGTGATCGCACTTCAGAAAATCAGTCGATTTTAGAATTTCAGTGGCCTTGTGTTTGATTTCTCGTTCACAGAATTCGACGACGTTTTCCATCCCAAGCAGTATGGCTACTGCATAACCCGTACACGTGTTGTTGATCCTTAAAGACATTTGCATTGGGGTTTCGCACAGCTTCAATCCTTCGTTTATCGCGTATTTTTTGCACAAATTGGCCACTTCGAAGATGTGGTCGGATGTCAATCGCACTCTCGCCAAATAAAAGAACTGAAGGAATTGTTTGAACGCCTCTGGATAGGCATCGACAATCAGAATGTCTCCATTTTCAGGCAATGATCCGTAGAACATAGCGTCAAACACTGGGCTTCCGGCAGATAGAATGGCCTTGAGAGCTTGAACACTTTCGTCACTGTTTTCGAACACGAACTTCACATCAGCCGTTTTTGAATCCAAATACAAATTTTGGCCAATAGACCATGCCATTTTATTGTCCTTTTCAAACACTTTTCCGCTCATGGTTGGTGCCTGTATTGAATTGTTGTGCAAATTTTATTAGAATGATTCACACAGGTCAGAATGGAAATAAGATTGTGGTTTTTGCTTCTTGAATACGAAGACGTGAACAGTTTTTACCTAGTTTTGATACTTACGTTTCGATCAATCGTTTGGTGGACGATTTTAGAAATGAATCAAATGATAATTTTGATTGGAAACGATTTTGATATTGAATTTTATGTTGTGTTGCACACGACTTGATATTCTCTTCAGACGCTAAATGAGTTGTGTTGTGCATAGAACTGTCACTTGCGATTGTTCAATCCTTATTTTGACAAACCGAATGTGTCAAAGTATGGGTTGCGATTTATTATTGATTCGATATATTCAAATTGTTGAACCGCGTAAATTGTTTGAATATTTTTTAGATTCAATTGGACCAACAAAATGGTTAGCTCAACCTCAGATGAAATAAATAAACACAAGCAATGAGAGAAACGTGGAATTTAATTGATAAATAAATCTCTTTGACATATTTTGAATATTTACTTAATGCGATTGTAATCAGTTTATTTTACGACACTTTTGACTCATTTCAATGGAGTAGAAAAGTGCTTACATTTATGAATAGTATTCTTTAAGAGTTTCTTTTATTGGCATGCTTGTTATTGGAATTAGAATTGTCTTGAAGTATGAACCATGGCTGAATTTGGACGTTGGGCATTTGAAGCATCACCACATGTCATTGTCAACATAATCAAAGGCATCTTGATCATCAAAATCATCAACATAATCCAATGCATCATCCTCCAGGTTATTACCAGGATCGTATAGATCGTATTCAGAAGCATCGACTTCAAAACCATGATTATGATTGTCATTGTCCAGGCCAAATTCATCCAAATCCTCCTTATATTCCCGTACAATGATCTTAGAAATGATTCCATTCTTTTCTGGCTCATCCAGAAGATCATTGTAAGTTGTAATGAATTGTGAGAATT